CCATGGTCTCTAGACACTCTGCAGGCGACCCGGCTGCCTGCTTTCCAGGTGGCCTCTCTTGTCTGGGCCCTGGTTGGGAGGCTCCTCCGCCCGCTGGTGCTGCCCTCTCAGCCTCTGGGTGGACTCAGGCTACATATGGATCTGGACTCTGAAATGTGTCGCTGAAGTCCAGTGGGCTTGGAGGGGTACAGGGACAGGAGAGTGTTGGGATTAGGCCCCAGGAAGTGGGTTTGGGGACCAGGCTGCCCCCCCACCCCCAGCGTGGGCCTGGTGCCTTCTTGGCCGCAGCCAGATCCGCTCCCTCCCAGTTAGCACCTCTGCCTTTGCCTCGAAACCAGAGTCTCAGAACTACCTTGTTTACTCATCCGGGAAGCCGGGGACAGTTTGGGACGCAGCATTTTTCCTGTAAGCCCCGAGACCGTGCCTGTAAGACGTCTGGGGGAGGGGGGGTGCAGGTCTGCTGCCCGAGCTGCTTCCGGGGCCTCCAGGGTGCAGGGGTGGCTGACTCAGAGCGCTGCTGTGTGTCGCCAGCCCAGGGCCCTGGGTGCACTGAGCAGCCTGGCCACAGACCCTCCCACCTGGAGATGCACAGAGCACGTCCAGGGACGGAGAGGCTGCACCTGGGGCCAGGGGAGCTGAGAGGCCAGAGGGGGCGGCCCTGGAGGAAGCCAGAGGCACGTGGGCTGGCCAGAGGCCGCTCAGAAGCAGCGAAAAGGAAGGGGCCCCAACCGGAGCCAGACGCAGACAGGGAGGTGGGGGTGACAGCAGCGCATGCTCCTCATTCAGATAGGCCAGCGGAGTGGCGCTGGGCAAATCCCTTAGCTGGGTGCTGTCGCTGGCAGAAGCCTGCCCCTGAGCACAGTGGACGTCAGACAGGAATGCACAAGGGTCAACAGTGCTGCAGAGATAGCTTGGGCTGTGTGACACTGTAGCTGGGCGGCTTCAGACATGTCCCTTCCTGCAGTTCTGGAGGTGGACCTCAGATCCACACACGGCCTAGTTGGGTTCTGTGGCGCGTGCCCTGTCTGGCCTGCACATGGCCACCTTCTCTGCTGGGTCCTTACACGAGACAGACTCCTGGTGTCTTCTGGGGGCACGGGTCCCGTGGTGACCCCCCCTTCCTGACCCAGCTAATCCTTGAGGCCCTGTCTTCAGATGCCATCACGCTGGGGGCTGGGGCTTCAACAGACGGCTGGGCGTGGGGGTCGGGCACAGTTCAGTCCACAGCAAGGACAGTCAGGAGAAAGGTCTGATTGAGGGGACACATCGGGAGGAAAGGCTGGGTCCTGGAGCAGTGTCACACACACATTCCTCCATGGCCACCCAAGGCAGCCTTTGAGTCTTGAGTGACAAGTGCCGAGGCCAGTCCCGTGGCTCTCACTCGGGGAGACTTCAGACCGAGTCGGGGCCCTGCTGGACGCTGTGGGACTTTTTCCTAGGCAGCCGGTGGCTCCTGTGGCCTGTGGATCTGGAAGGGGTGCGGGAGGCTGAGACGGTCAAAATATTTGGTGGGAAATTAAAGACTTGAGACACCGGGAGAGACCAGCAGGTGTCCTGGAGCCCATGTGCGTGTGGGGTCCTGTGTTGGGGTGGAGCAGCGAGAGGTCCTGGCTGGTGGGCGGGGACATGGAATGATCTGGAAGGTGAATCTACGGGACTGGGCTGGAAGGGTCGATAAATATCCAGATACTTGAAGGAAAGTGCTCATGAAGCCAGGCTGTGCTTCCGCCCCATCTCAGCCCCACGTGGGAGCGCGGCTTGCTCCGGGGCCTTGGTTCTCCAGCGCTCCTGTGTGGCCTGTGCTGCGTGCCGAGCGCCGGGGGCCAACGGGCAGGACGGGGAAGCAGCGGGGTTTGTTTAGGCCTCTTTCCTGCCTGTGGTCACGCTTTAGAAGCTGTGTGGCTGCTCTGTAGCAGAGGTGTCACTTAGCCGCGTGTCATTAGAAGAAATGGTGCCGAGCTGCAGAGCGGGCCGGACCGGAGGGTGCACTGTCCCAGCCTGTCGGTCCTTCCTGCTGGGGCAGCTGAGGGTCCAGGTCACCAAGTACTTCTTCCTAGGTTGTGAGGCCACCTGGAGTCCCCAGGAAGCAGAGGATGGGGACTATGGGAGCAGGTTCCACACTGGTTAGGAGGGACACTGTACCTGTGGGAGTCCCCGGGTGCCACGATACACACACGCTCTCTCAGGCCTTCCAGCACATTCTATTCACTGGAACCTGCTGCCTGTCATCACAGATGTCTGGGAGGCGAGCCGCAGGATGGGCCGAGAGACTGCGTGACCATCCGACCCATGGACGAGCGTGGGTGGCTCACCCACTTGTGAGCCGTGTCACGGGTGCAGTGTCACGGTGGAGGCTTCAAGCTGTAGCTTCATAAAGGACCCTGGAACAGGGCAGTGAGTCCAAGACCAGAGTGCCCCTCTCTGCCCTCAGAGGGGTCTGTAGATGGCACCAAGGAGCATATGGCTCCTGGCTGGCTCTGCCTGGTCCCTCCACAGGCCCAAACCCAAGTGTGGCCCAGCAGACCTCGCTGCTGTTTAAAGGTGTAGGGAAGCAGAATCGTGCTCTTGGTTACCGGAGGGCACCGCTGCAGACTGGCCTTTCCTCTCCCTCCCTCTCCCCGTGTGGGGGACGGTAGTGAAGCTGTCCCAGCGAGACAGCTGGGTCATTTCAGACCATGGAGATGTTCCTGTCCACATTTTGGGCCCAGGAATCTGAAGTTCGGCAGGAGACCACGAGACCTTTGCAGGTATACTGCCAGAGTCTCTCAGTTCCAGAAACTTCCAGTATTGAGTCTGCATTTTCATAGAGTTCCCAGGGACCCTGAGGATCTTTCAAGTTAGGGGAGCCCTGGCCTGGGACTACCCCCCTAGAGCTGGGGCCCCATCTCAGCCCTGCTGGGTGCTAGGGAACTGTCCCGGGCAAGGCACCCTTCTCTCCACTTTGGTACCTTGGCACGAGAATGGGAATCACTATCACCCTGAAGCCAGCCCAGAGCCTGAAATGGGGCAGAGTGGACGGCCACCTGCAAAGCAGATGTGCGGCGGTAGCCGGGAGCCGAGTTGAATTTTAGGCGTTTGTTGAATTAAGACAGGCCCTTCTGGCTCTGATGCCCGTCTTCCACCTAGAAGCAGACAGAGGTGAGTCTTCATGACTGAACAGGATGTTGTGCCTCCAAACGCTGCAGATAAACCAGCAGCTGGAGGCTGCTGTTCTGAGACGGTGGCAGAGCTGTCACCATCTTGGATACCAGCTTTTAGAGCCCAGGGAGCGAGTCCAAGTGTGGCCGCCTCCCACGAGCACCACAGGGCCTGGGGCTTGGAGGAAGAGCTCTTGCTCTGTCCAGGTGGAGGTAAGAGCTTGGCCCCTGGGCTGCCACCTGTGCGTGACACCTCTAGCTCCCAAGGGCGGCCTGGATGACATGAAACTGTCCCAGCCCCTTGGAGCCACATTTTTCTGAGAGTAACGACGCCGCAGGGTGGGGACGGGCTTTTTCTCACAACAGGAACACCCTGCTGTTGGGTGGGGCTCAGGGTGCTGGTGGTGGAGAGTGTCAGTGTCCTCTGGATGTCTGAGGGTAGATCGAGCAGCATTTGTATAGAGAGGGGACATGGGCTGTGAACACACCAAGGTTGTCCTCAACGAAAATGGGAATTTGCGTTTCTTACCACGGGAACCTCTGGGAGGAGGGGCAGCGGTGAGGGTCTGCAGCCTGTTAAGTTTGAGATGCCCAGCGGGCAACCTGCCCATCTAAGTCTGAAGTTGAGGGGCGCTGGTCTGGACTGCTGTTGGGGTAGGGGTCGTGTTTTAGGGTCCCCAAGGGACTTATCTGACAACAGCTGCCCTGGGGTTCGTGAGAGTCGGTCTACAGTAGAGAGGGGAAGTACAGCGGTTACCACTGTGGCCCCGTGCCCCTGCGGCAATGGAGAGTGGGCGTTTTGTTTCAGAAGGTGGCCCGAGACGCAGGGTCCTGTGCAGGGCTGCAGCAGCTTCGAGGGAGGAGAGATGAGGCGGTCCTCTGGCCCCAGGGCTGCAGCGCCTGGAATCGACCCCAAACACCCAGGTCCCGTGGGAGTCACCTGGGACTGCACAGCGGCTCAGAAACCTCCCTTTACCAAGCGTCCTCGCCCCCGAAGCTGAGCCCTGAGGGAGCTCTCCTCCCTCAAGCTGATGGTGCCATTCCCTGCCAGAGGCTGATCCCGGAGGGTGCCTCCACGTCACACCCTCGGCCTGAACTCTGGCCTTATCCTGTGGCCACCAGAGGGGATGGGGGAGGCGGTGTCCAGAAAGCTCCAGAGAGGGTTCTAGAGAGAGATACAGAGAAGGCACTTCTGTTACATAAAGAAGAGGAGAAAACGTGGTGGGAGGGAAGGGCTCATGCAGTAATGACGCAGGCCCATCGTTTTCAGGTGCTGCTCTTGCTCTGATTGGGCGGAGGCTGTAAAAAGAGTAACTCCCCCTTGCCCCATATTGACAAAACAGGAAGAAAATGTGCAGTCTTAGGAACTTACAAGCAATTACTGCCCAACGGCCACGTAGAGGGACATGGGCCAACTTTGGTCCACCTGGGAGCCTGGAGGAAGATGCGTTCCGAGGACAGCCTAGGGGATGTCCGTTGACCCTAGCAGAAGCCAGCTTTGAAATTTTCTCTCTAGATGGCCACTGTTTAAAACTCCACGGCAGAGGCCTTTGGACTAGCTTGAAGTGGACACATGTCCCCTTAACATCGCTGAGGTTCTCTGAGCTCAGAGAGCCCCAGGACTTTTACAGTGATCCTCACCTCAGTGACTATTACCCTGGTTGTTGGGTTCATTGTGGCACAAACATTAAAACGATACAGAACTTGGGCTTAAATCCCAGCCACAAGGTTGCATTCGCTCCTGGGTTTGAGTGGCTTAGAGAGACCCGAGGTGGATGGTGTGGCCGTGACTTGGTTGGACTATAATAGAGATCAAAGATGATTTTTTTTTTTCTCAAAAATGGTTTTGCAAATCTTTTTCAGAGCTGATAGACACACACCTTAGCTGGATACAAAACATATTATGAAACAGAATGACTGTGATCTTTGATCCAAGAAACCAAAGTTAAAGGTAATTGTCATCTTCTGCTTCTCCTTTGGTTTTCCAGCTGTGTGTTGTGTTAACTTTTTTATTTTTATTAAGTAAAAGAAAGCTTCCCAACCGGAAGCCCTCTCCCCTCCTCCAGCCACCCTCACAGCCACCTTTCCTGCTCCCAAGGAAAGAGGATGTTCTGGGTCTGTGAGCCTGGGCAGGAGGAGAGGGGAGGTGGCCCTGGGGAAACGCATGCTCTCCGGGGGCTCCCTCAACCCCTCCAGGACTGGCCTGCAGGGACAAATTCCACCGGGGGGGAGGCTCTGCACAGGGCCGGACAGACGGCAGGGAGGACACAAGACCTCGTGGGCGGCACAGGAAGCTCCCATGTGTAGGCAGTTTCCTGTCAACCCCCTCCTCTCAGTCCTCCCTGGGGACTTTCGTGCTCTGTCACTTGACAGCATTCATGTGCTGCTCGGTGTCTGGATATGAAATGTGCCTCTGGAACCGAGGCTGGAGCGCTGGTCTCCGCAGGGCCCCCTCCCAGCTTCAGTAGCGGGTCCGCCCTGCATGACTGGGGCCACAGAGCCTGTGCACAGTCAGGTGGTGAGCGCAGGCCTGGCAGCGCAAGGGCCACAGGCTGGTAGAGGACACAGTTCAGGTGGGCAGTTGAAGTTCCTGAACCTGCTGTGCCTCACCTTCTTAGATGCTAACGCTGTGGTCCCACCTCCTGCCATTCTCGTTAGAACACTAAGCCAGCATGCAGCTCAGGGACACCCGGTGGCGGCCTGATGCGTGGTGTGCCTCCTGGCTGCTGGTCTGCGGCTTTCTGTGGTCCCTTTGTCAAGCACAGAGTCTCTGATACCACCCAGGCCAGGTCCAGGAGGCTGTGGCAGACTCTCACTGAAGGCCACTCTGAAGTCCCAGGGAAAGCAGCAACCAGAAGCCGCCCCACAGCATACCCAGAAGAGCGAACAGCTCAGAACCACGTTTCCCAGTGGACAGGGCCTGGCTGAGCTGTGCCCATGCTCCCCAGTGTCACCGCAAGGGCTTAGCTGGAGGGCAGTTGCTCCACCATCCCCCACGGGGATTGCCAAACACGAGCAAGTGTGAAGCGCAGCGCCCAGGGTGGCCCCTGCTTCTGCTCCTGTCTGGGGCGTCAGGGTGTAAAGACGCCAGTGCAGGCCCAGCTCCGACTCTTCAGACCCCACCTGCCACTTGGGCGACAGCCCATCAAGGGGACTGAGTCCCTGCAGTTAGGCCAGGCTTGTCCAGAAGACTCTTCTCCACAGTGTTTAAGTGACCAGACTCCTTGGAAGGGGCCAGGAGAAGAGGAAAGGGCTGGAGATTGCTAAGCAGAGCCTGGGGAGGGGTGGCCGGGCAGGCCCAAGGCCAGCTTTCCTCCCCAGCCTCCTTCCCTCGCTCCTGGGGAGGTCCTCGGTCAGTGGACAGTTGAGGCCTGGCACGCTTTCTTGGCCTTCAGAGCAGATTCCCCCAAGCGTGGTAGGAACAGAGGCAGAGCTAAGAGCACTCCTGTGCTTCCTGCCCTCGTCTCGTCCTGCCCCAGGCAGGCAGGAGGGCCTTAGGAGTGGGTCCACCCGTCACGGTGGGCAGAGGTGATGGGCGGGTGCCGAGCCTCTCGTGGCTCTGCCTGGGGCGTGGCCTAGAAGGCCTCTCCTGTCCCTCCCAGCGGCGGCAGTGTCCTCGTGGCTGTGGCCTTTGTGGCCAGCACTCGATCAGGCTCTGATGGGCACGCACGCTGTCTAGCCAGATTGTGGGACGTGGAGGTTTGGGAAAGCGGCCCCCCAGGCCCCTGGTGCCTTCCTGCTGCCACTTTCCCAGGGGATGGAGTTTTAAAGTCAGCATTACGGGGAGAAGGCCACAGGAGAGTCACCCCGAAAGGCCCTTCCTTGCACCTGGATAGGTTGGTGCAACCCTGAGCAGCCGTCGGGGGCTCAAGTTGGAGGACCTGTGCTGAGAAAGCAGAAACTCCAGCAGAGCGGGCCGCTGGCGGGAGGCAGTCCCGCTTTAGAATTCGCCACCAAGTCAGCCCAGAGCCGTCTGATGAGTGATACTAGTTGAGGCTTTGGTTTCCTCACAGGGCTGTCCCCCCAAAGTAGGTGGGGAGAATACCCTTCTTTCCTTTCTGTTTTGCCGGCTGACTCGGGCTCCTGGGCCAGGGCTGGCCCCGCCTGTCTGGGTAAAGGAGTGTGACGGGAGCCGTCGCTCATCCACTGCCGGTCGCCGCTTCTGCACCCCAGCACCAGAGCCGGACAATTGAGGCGGCGGCTACGGCACCCACACAGCTAAAGACACCACCGGTCCTTTTATAAAAGGGGCCTCGTGGCCCTTGGTGCAGCCTGCTCGTATGTGGGCAGCCACTTTTATTAGATTATTCATATTCTTATTATCCACGGTGCAATGACCGTCCTTTATGCTGGAAATATTGCCTCGCTTCTGCGTTTTAAAAAGCGTAGAATTTTCATGCACTTTAAATCTGTCCGTCTTTTCTGGTGGCAGCCTTAGGGGTCACCCGGAGGTTATAGACCCACTTGCTCTGGGTCCTGTCAGGCCAGCACCTCTGAGGACGAGGAGGGTCAGGGACTCTGGCAGTGACCACCGCCAGCCTCGGGTCTGCTCTGAGGAAGCGCGGGTTCGTCAGGAAGAGCACCTGCTGTGGCCACTGTCCCTTGCTTTTCCCCGAGTCTCACAAGAGACATTGAGGATGACAAAGACTGACCTCACAGCACCGTCCCTGGCTAGTTGTAGGGCTGTGGAGAAAGTGGGCCCTGGGTTCGCATCCCAGTCCCCTTTGCCTGCAGTGACAAGTGGCTGGCTCTGTTTCCCTACGGATTAAAGGGGATGGGGATTCTGTTACGGGGTTGGCGTGAGGGGTCGCAGCATGGTGTAGGCCCAGCCCCCAGCTCTGGAGAAAGGAGCAGGGTCACCTTCTTCTGCAGGGACAGGCTCCTGGCAAGCAGGGGAGCAGACACCCATTGCCAGTTGGGTGACAGAGGAAAACCAGCTCCCCAGCAGGAGACCTAGCTGATGGGGCAGGGCGAGGAGCCCCCTAAGCACCTGCTGTGGGCAGAGCCGTGCCCACAAGCGCAGGAAGGAAGGTGGAGTGAACGGGGAGGGGGCCTGTGGGAACAGCCTGGCCCCAGCCGGGGAAGAGGCCGGAGGTGCCGTAGCTGGCACAAGGCAGGTGCCAGAAGCATTTGTTGGGTAAATAAATTGCTTGGATCTCAGGGTCAAGCCTGGGGCCATGCTCAGCTCCGACAGCGAGGCCTGAAGGGTCTCAGCCCTTTCTAAGGTCTGTGTTCTTATCACTAAGCGTTCCTGGGTCCCCCGGGTCCCCAGGCTAGGGCTTCCTCCAGGCCCTGGAGCATGCGCAGCAAGAGAGTTGGCAGAGTGAAGGGACCAAGGGACTCCACAGGTCCAGGTGCCAGGAGCCTGCGTCTGAGCTTTGATGACATGGGTGAAGAGGGATCTGGTTGGGACCAGGAGGACAGAGGGTGGCAGGGGCCCGAGATGGGCAGAATGGAAGCTGGTGCCAGTGGAGCACGGTCATCGAGGGAGGGTCGAGGAGGTGAGGTCAGAGGGGACAAGGGACTCGGGGATGTGGTGGAGGGCAGACCAGGGCAGGATTTCTGAATCTAGAGAGCTTGCTTAGAGGGAGAGAGCGAGAGAAGGGAGAGAATCACACAGGGAGGAGGAGGTGACAGGACCGAGTGGGAGACTATCCACCCCCTAAAAACCCAGGGCCACGGTGGACAGACGTGAGATTGATTCCAGAGACAGTGAGCAGCCCCCTGCCCCCAACACGCTGCAGAAGGAGGTTTCAGTATAAGTTCCTCTGGGAATTCGGAGCCCAGGTCTGCAGTCTCACCTGGCCCCACGGACACCTGCTAACATTTCTGTTCTAGAACTTTCTCCTTGTCTGCAGCCAGGGGAGGAGCAAGCTGAGGTTTCAGAAAGAAAAAGTCTCTACCCAGAGAGATTGTGGTGGGGTCTGAACTTCTGAGCCCCCCGAGCCACCCCCAGCCATGACAGGTGACGGTGACGGTGGCGGTCTTGGAGCAGAGCTCCTGCTGAGCTTCCAGATGGTTGCCCACCCCCCAAAGGTGGCTTTCAGGCAGCAGCACGGATCTCGTCCCAGGGGAGGGGAAAGCGGCTTTGCCTGCAGGAGAGGCTGCCCCTCTTGCTGCCCTGTGATCTGAGAAGGGCACGGGGCCCTTTGTGCGGCTGCCCTGGTGCCTCCAGCTCTGCCCAGGGCTATTTTTAGAAAGCTGGGGCTGTGAAAAGTTTCCACCGAGGATCGGCTCCTGGCTTCCTACGTTGAGAAAACAGGAAGGCCCTCAGGATCCGGGCTTTGAAAAGCTCCGCGTGAAGCTGCCTGACCCACCCCACCCCACCCCTCTCAGGGCACCTCAGCTTATCTGGTCCTGGCGGTGCTGGGGGTGGGGGTGGGGTGGTGGCGGTTCTTCATCCAGTCTCCAGCTCGGCCCCTGGGATCCGCTGGTGGCTGGAGCACAGTTCATTCAGTTCGTGCCGAGTGGCGCTGGGGAGCTGAACGGGCTCATCCCAAGGTCCTGTGTGTGCAGCCGAGTCCGTGGGAAGCATTTGTCCCTCTAGCTGTCCCGTCCCCCTCCGTGAGCACACAGCTATCCCCTTCTCTCACACGCTCCCTTCTGCACACCAGCACCTGCTCCTTGTGCCATCTCACCCAGGACCCTCCACAGCCCTGGAGTAGCCGACAGACACAGTTACAGATGGAGAAACGGAGGCACAGAACCGTCGTGTCACACAGGCAGGTTCAGAGCAAGGATGTGGCCAGAGGGGGACTCCGACCCCACCCTCCGACACCAGGACCTTCGCCCTGCACAATGGTCCCTGGCTCCGAAGTGCCCAGATCCCTCGGGGGTGCTCCTGGCCAGTGCGGCCAATAGGGCTGAGCACGACGCACCTCGTGCCCCTCAGGCTTAGTGTCCTCCTGCCGCCCCACAAGGAGCGCAGGCCTAGGATTGGGGACATGAGGCCCGGGGAGGCAAAGCCACACCTCCAGCTAGGGGAGCACGGAGAGGAGCCTGGCCTCAGCGGCTCTTTAAAGCTGTGGGTGTTCCTGCCCCTGTCCCCAACCATCCAGGCAGAGAGCGCCAGGACCCTGGACCTGGGGGAGCCCGGCTGCACCAGGGAGGGGCTCTGGGCACAGGAAAATGCTGAGATGAGGGCCTGGGAGAAGTCAGGGTCAGAGCTGGGGCAGGGGAGAGTGGCCTGCCTTTGACAGGACCCCAGAAGGGTCCCGCTCCCCTCCCACCTCCACCCCAGTCAACACACCCAGCCTCGGGGCACACGTTTGCTGACCTCGGCAGTGAGCCGGCACCGGGGTGGTTCATTTCCAAGGGTGCCAAAGGGAGTCTGTTGGCAAGATCCGTCATCCGGGGATCTCATGCTTCCTGTGACCTCCAAAGACCCTCCTGGAGGAGCAGAGAGCTGGCCAGGGCTGGCCTTGTGCCCCTGGTGCCCTTTCAGAGCTCCATGCATCCTTAAGGGGGTGAAGGTGACCAAGCTCCCAGGGTCCCTCTGAGGATACTTTCAACTTCTAAGGCCTCACGACCGGCAGGGAAGATCCTACTTGTGCAGAAATGAATAGAAATTTCACTTCAATTGATGGCTGCTTACTTGCCCTCCTTTAGGGGCTCCTATATTTTCATGGGACACAATCATGTAATAGGTCTTTCTGTAGGCAGTCCGTGAAGGAGTTTGGGAGCCTACTGTACAAACTGTTCTGACCCAGGAAAGCAAAACATGACATAGGAAGGCATTTCTCATGCTAAAAAAATGGTCAAGTGTATCATCACGAGGAGCAAACACATACTCTTTAAAAAAATAGCCTGATGGAAGGGCTGGGGTTGTGGCTCAGAGGTAGAGCGCTCGCCTAGCACGTGTGAGGCCCTGGGCTCGATCCTCAGCACCACATAAAAATAAATAAAGGCCTCGTGACCAACTACAACTAAAAAGTTAAATAAATGTTTAAAAAGATAGCCTGATGGCGGTTCTGGAAAACTGATCTGTGTTTTCAGTGCTTCTCATGGGCCTCTCTCTGCTTTCCTTTTATAGTCAATGAAATTATCAGGAAGGAGTTTTCAGGACCTCCCTCCAGAAACCAGACGTAGAAGCAGCCATCATCGCAAGACATTCGTGCCTCGGACCCCCACCTGGAGCCCTCGCCGCCCTCGCTTCTGTCCTTCTCTGTTCATCTCCTGGCCAGAGGCCCCACGGGAGCCGTGCTCGGGCCAGCTGCTGGCGCAGGAGCTTGCCGCCTCTCTCTGGAAACGCCAGAGCACCTCTTCCTTTTGAATTTCGAGTCCCAAAGACCATCCCGGTTGACCTTCACAGTGACCCATCTGGATATCAAGTGCCTGCTGACCAGAACCACATTGTGAATGTGGCGGGAAGCTGGAACTCGCCCGAGACCGGAGTGGCTGGAGTTGGAGGGGAAGGGCTGGGGACGAGGTGGGCCCTGATGGAGCCCCAGACCCTGCGTTCACTTTTCCAGGTTCTGGGAACAGCTCCCGGCCCTTTTGAGGGAGACAGGGCCTGAGAGCAACCACGGGAATGTGGCCGCCGAGTCCAGCTGATGGCTGACGAACCCCACACCCTCGAGGCCGAGGCTGAGTCTGGACCGTTGTCCGTGGTGCTCTCCTCACAGCGGGCCACAGCGGGAGCTTTATTTTGGAATTTTCTCCTTCCAAAGCAAACTGCCTTGCCCAGACTAGATCCCCAGTCACGACTCCTCGGTGTTGACGTGTACACGGTTGTTATTTTTATTCTATGCTTCAAAGAGCTGGCCAAGGAGGCTGGGGGCTGGACCTTCTTGGCCAGCAGCTGTCTCCCCCTGCTGCCCACAGCCAGCGCTAGTGTCCCGGATGGGGCGCTGCCCGGCCTGCTGCCGCTGTCCACTGTGCTCCTCGAGAGTCCTCCCCGTCTTCCTCCCGGCCAGCACACTCATGGAGTATCTAGGAGAGCCTCAGGCCTGCGTATTGAATGTCAGGGACGAGGCGGAAGGGCCACAGCAGCAAGAAAAAAAAAAGTGCAAGATTTTCGTCCAAAACACCCAAGTACAAGATCAAACAAAAGGGTTGGATTCCCTCTCTGCTCCAAACTCAAGAGTAAAACAGGGAGCCTCAGGCGCTGGCCCCCAGGATCATGGGTGGCTTTTACCCGAGTCCATTTAAAGCTCCCCTCAACCCCAAGCGCTGGCCCTAGCACCCCTCCTGCATGAGCAGAGCGTCCAACAGCAGCAGGTCTGTGTGATCCCCAGCTGCACAAGGCCCTGCACAGGATTGCTCCTTGGGTGCCGTTTCTGCAGATGAAACCCTGGGCTTTCTTGGCAGGTGGTTATCACACAGATGTGCATGATGGCATTTATCACAGGCACCAGGACAAGCTGGGCTTTCTCTCTCGGCCGTTCAGTCGATTCCTTAGCAGTCAACCACAAAGTGGAAATATCCTCAGCCTGTACTTGGAGGGGTTTCTCAGTCCAGTCTGTTTTACCCAAGGCCTAGGAGGAGAGCCCGGCTGTTAAGCATGCACAGTGGCTTTTCTAAGTCCCTGCTAGCCATGGGTAAGCCTTCCCGAGAGCCGGGCCCGGCATGGCTGGTGCGCTCCACAGAGGATGAACACCCAGTTCTGCTCTGTGCCCCCGGGGGTGTGGACCTTCTAGGTTGATGCGGAGCATTTATTTCTCCTATGAGCAGCAGACCTGATCACCTACCCCCTGCGGAATCGGGTAGAGTCCCTTTGATGCGCAGAATGCCAGGAAGAAGCGGAGCACCGCCACAGAGCTTCTGTGATGCCGAATTCTTCCTCATTAACAAAGAAAAGTCCCCTCTAGCAGCTTTACCTAAGGCATTCCCTCTCCAGCAGTACTTACTTTGCTGGGGCAGAGTTTCAAGGGCTGGCTGAGTGGTTTGCTGTCACTTGGCCTGGCTGGGAGCCATTTTTTGCACATGAGGGAATCAAGCCTTTCCTCAGTTGTCTGAATGTTTTACCCAAGTGCCTTCCTGCAATTGTCGCAAAGGAGCTCGGCTTCCCCGTCCATGGGGCGAGAGAGGGACTAACACATTTTCCAGCCACCTTCTCACCATGGTTGCAAAAAGGGCTTCCTGGCAGCTCAGGCGTGCGTGCGTGTGTGCGTGATGCATAAATATAACCCCCTTTCTCCAGGACTGCTGGAGACAAAGTATTTTCATAGCAACTGAACCGAACAGCAGAGGAAAGGAAGCGTTTGTCTAGAGACACAAGCAGGCCAGAGAAAGTATATCCGGAACCGACGGCTTCAAAGGTTTTGTTTTGTCCGTCGTCGTCAATGCCAGGAGGAAGCTCGGCCGAGAGTAAATCGTGCGAGAAATATTTTCAGCAAGGGAAGAGGCAGTAAGATCCTCCAAGAGGACGAGACAGTAAGGGCGGCTAAATGGGAAAGATGGGTATGTCGCAGGTGTCAGAGGGACCCCAGGCAAGTCGAGGTCTGTACGTGCCACATCACGGCCACGTACGTTATGTTGCGCTGGCAAATCCGTCAGGTTGCTGAATGTACTGTTCTTCTAAAGTTTGCAAGTCTTCCTGCGTTATACAAAAATACTGCTGCTTGATAATATATATGGCAATCCAGATTAATTAGTATGTTATTAAATTTTATTTTCTTACCTGTATTTTTATGCTTTTTTTTTTAATCTGCCCTCAAAATATTGCATTCCTGAATTAGAAAATATTTATAAATGGTCAGAAATCTTTTTAAGTGTCTCTTTTTACATATATGTTGATTATTTTTCTGTAAGAGAAATGGTGTATTCTTGAAAACTTTTTGTAAATCATTCCAGGAAACAAACCAAAATCCCCACATCTGGGCCTGGTGGGTGCTTAGGGTAGCAGGAGCCAGCACCTCAGACAAGAAAGGGGACGGTTCTGTGGAAGAAGAATCCATCCTTTTCTTGCCCAAGAGTGGTGCTTGCTTTCTGCAGGCCGAGCCTGGGTTTTGTCACCGAGAATTGTAAATAAACGATCTAGATGGTGATTTTTTGATATTTAAAGCAACAACAGAACCCTGCCTGCGTAGTAATGGAATCCAGAGAGTTCCTACTGACAGGACCCCAGGTGCAGGCTGATCTGGACAGAGTTGAGCAAATCAGAGTCCTGATAGGTGACCCCATATGCATTATCCACAGGACCTCCGCAGTTTTCCCACACAGACGTCACCAAGGACGAACTGAGCCGCTCCCTCCAGGAATGTTGGAGCGCTGCTCTGCAGACCTGCATCCAACAGCCAAGACATCTGTCTCAGCGAGCCAGCCTCGGCCAGGGCTGGAGCTGTCACACGGCAATGTGTTCTGGTTGTCACTCGGGACTGAAAGAGGCTCTGTTTATTTTCATGTTACAAAAACCACTTTCCACGTGCTTCCTGTTTGGGATTGAGGGGCTCTCCGAGGTCCACTTGACAACTGTGCTCATTTCTCATTGACAAGTGGCACGGGGGTTGTGACGTTCTTGACAAGACGGGTAACCATTCCCGAACTCGTGTTCTGGAGGGATAGCCCTTCAGGGACCTGACACGTCTTAACCTCAGGTCTCCCAAGCGGGGGACGTGGGCACCATACCAGTTTGTCACACAGTGAGGTTTTCCCGCAGTCCAACCACATGCTTAGAGGAAAGCAGTGTCCGACCCTCAGCTCTCCTGGGGCCCTCAAGTTATAGCCAACATTACTGTCTTAATTCACTTTCAAAACAAAAATAACTTTGATGATTGGCAAGAAGGGTGCTTCCCAGGCAAGCCCCTCCAAAAACGCAGTGTGGTCCTGTGAGCCGCTGGGACTCTGTTCAACGCTATCCTCCTGCAGCCGCGGGCAGGCTCGGCTCCCCTGCCAGGTCGGGGCTGGGCTGGGCTGGGCTGCAGAGGACGCTGCAGCATGTGAGCAGAGGCGCCCAGCGTTGTGGCTCGCCTGAGCAGAGGTGGCCGTGGGCCCAGCAGTCCAGCTTCTGGACACCCTGGCTGACACTCTCACTGGCCGCCATGGCTCCTGCAGCTCTCCGGGAGAACACGCGGGGTCGTAATGGGGTTCTCCAGACATCAGCGGCCCCAGCAGCGCCGTGCTGGAAGGTTTGAGAATCCTGACTGGTCAAGGGGTTAGAATACATCACATTCCTATGCAAAATGGTTTTTAACCTGCAGTTTAATGTAGTTTATTTTTGCTATATGTAAAGTATTTTTATACGGCTTGTATTATGATAGTTGAGCAATAAAATGGTTGAAAGCAACAGCTGCGTGGGTGTCTCTGTTTGGGGAGGGAGCACTGGGCATGGTCTGCACTCTGGATCCATAGAGCAAGGAGAATTTCTTGGGAGTTCATTTCCTCTTCCCCTCAGTCTGGGATGATGGTACATTTTAAGTGGCTCAGAAGCCATTTGCCCAAGGTAGCAGAGCGAGAAGGTCCAGCGGGGTCTGATTCTCCCTGACATGGCTCCTCTGTCCCTTGACCCCCTTCTGAGGGTCCAGAAACGCTAGATTCATGATGTCTACCTTAGGCCCCTTCCAGGGGCCCCAGAGCATCTGTAGCTAGCAGGGCTGAGCCAGGGACTTGGGAGGCCAACAGGGCTGGGTGGGGAGCACCTCTGACCATCAACCCCACAGTTAGGTAGTACAAGGACTAGAAGTCTCAGCTGGCTTCCTCCTCGGGACGGTGCTTTGCCTCCCCTGGCTGAGCTCCTAGGACATTTAGAAGAACCTGCTTTTGTTTTAAATCCTTCCTGTTGTTCCTCCATCTCAGAGCTCCTCTTAAACCCCACCAGGGAGAAGGGCCCTGACCAGGCCCTGTCCCAGGGAGCCACCCCTCCCCACCACGGCTCTGCACTTGGGATTCCTTCCTGGGGGTTTCCTAGACTCTCTTCTGGTGCCCGGAGCCAGCAGGACCCCGGGGGCGGGGGCAGGACCCCGGGGCAGGGGCAGGACCCCAGGGGCAGGCCTGTGTGGGTCCTGGCAGCTGGAAACGCCTCTTGAAATGGCCCGAGTCCCCCCTCTGCTGGCTGGGACCAGCTGTCCCCATCTCTCCCCTTCAGATGCCCTGAAGCGCATCCAGGTGAGCAGATGGCACCTGGTGTCTGCTGCAGTGCTTTTGTGTTGGTGGGATTGAGAGAGATGGGCCGCCAGAGGAGGACTAAGCGCAGACTTGGGGTGGCTCAGAGCCTGGTGAGCGGGAGCACCCCCCCAGAACACCCAGCAGGCCACACACCTGGGGGCCACCCGCCCTCGCGAGGTGTCCTTTCCTTCTTCCGCTCCCAAAGAGAAAACCAGAATCGTCTTCATGTAGCAAAGAGCCTCGGGCTCCCCAGGTGGACAGTGAAGACAGCAGTCCCCACCTGCCGGTGCCCAGGTGCACGCTCCTCTGCTCTGGCTACTGATCCCCCAGCTCCTTGTTTAGCGGATGATTTCAGACTCACCCAAGCTCCTGACGGAGCCGCGAGCTCCCCTGGGACCTCATTTTCCCACCCTCCGCAAGAAGCCTTTGAGCTCAGGCAGTACCTAGATCAAACCCAGAAACTTGAAGGGATCCAATTTTTGAACCTAAGTGAAGGCAGTACACACTGGGACAACTTGGGGTGACTTGGCCAGGACCTCGCTACCCTGAAAACACCCCTTGCTATGCGCAGTGGGGTGCAGTTGTGCCCTAGGAGTGGGACGAGGTCACTGGTGCAGCCGCCCCCGGGGACGGAGAAGACCTGGGAAGACGATGTCCCCTCCTCCCCTCTGCAGGGTCCCCTGTGGGGAACTGGTTTCAGGGCAGGACCAGCACCAGGCTTCGTGTCAGACAGAGCTGAGGACAAGGACACACAGACAGCAACAGCCTTTAGGAAACGAAAGTGAGGAGCCCCGCTGCTGTGACAAGCGGCAGGGGTCACGTTCTCTACAAACCTCATGACATTTTGTGGTACAGACACAAATGAGGTCAGAGCACACTTTCTCCAAAAGGGCTTCTCGCTCGGCGCTGTCTCACCCCACCCTCCTGGTGACATTCAGAAGCCGAGCTTGGTGACGCTCCCTGTAGAGTTAGCACCAGAGACAGGGCGCCTCACCCCACATCCACCCGATGACCCCCACTGTCCAGGACTCCTGTGGCCCGGCAGCTTCAAACTCCGACACCGTGCTGGACCCCAGACGTGAAGCACAGTGACTTTTCCAAGGACCACACCTATCACTTCAGGGGTCCCTAATTTTTTTTTTTTTTAAGGTGGAGGCCGGGGTCGCAGGTCCCAACCTCTGGGAGACGCTGACACAACACCCCACACTGTCCTGGGTTCCTCCTGGTAAAGTGTCAGAGGCCCATTTGCACCTGACGAAGAGCCCCCTCTGCTCCCAAGGCTCTGGATAGCGCCTGAGAAAAAGGCATTTCGGGACAATCTCGGCAGAGGATTTTGCAGACACCCACAGGCACGAGATGCACACACCTGTGCAGTGTCCCCACGTGGTGACCATGAGCATGTCCAGTTCAACACCCCCTCATTTCCTGATCCCTGCCCACCCCTCCTTCCCCATCAGCCTATGGCAAAACCGTCTAAGCAGCTGCCTAGTCAAAATCCTAGGAGTCCCCCTCCCCGGCTCCCCAACTCCCCCCTCCCTGTTCCCCACGCATCAGCAAGGGTGGTGGACCCCTCTTGGAGGCCCGCCATGCCTCCTTGCTCTGTGCCCCTGGGACCACCCTCATCTTCTGCCTGGATGACAGGGCAGTCCCTCTGGTGCATCTGCCCTCCCTGCCCACACAACAGCCGTCGTGCACTTAACGCCTCGAACCCCACCACCCTCTGCTTCAGTTAAGCCCCCCGCCGCCGTCCTCGGCATGCAGGACGATTTGCACTTCAGGTGGGGTGGCCACCCTCCTCCTGCCGACCACCTCCCCACGCTCACCTTGTGGCATGACTTCTCCTGTGGTCCTGGCTCACACCACACCGTCCCTCCCATCTCCACGTCCCCCAGTACCCGAATTCCTCCCTGTTCACTTCTGTAAACATCATGTGCTCAGAGGACGGCCCTGACCCCCAGGCGCCATGTGGGATCCTCCCCACACCCCTTGGCATGGTGTGGACACTGTCCTGCTTCCATACCCTGTGCCTTGTCCACCGCCTCACACCTGCAAGTCCAGGAGGGAAGGATAGCGCCCGTCTGCTCAGGTGACATCCCCAGGCCCCGCACACAGTAGGCCCTCGGTAGCGGGGTGTTGAGTGACGGACATGCCCGACTTCCATACACAAGTGGCCCCGAGAGCAGTGGGCTCTGGACTGTGTGGGAAATCCATCGCTGCCCGATACTTGATGCATTTTAAGACCCAAACCATGGACACAAGAGACCTTTCCCATGCGGCTGGCTGGACTCATTTCTGGTCACAGGGCCCTGTCTCCAGTCTGTCCCTTCCCTGCAGCTCCGTGAGCCCGGAGCTGCCAGGCCACCGCCCGCCTCCTGAAGGCTGCCATCACCTGTGGCCCCCTGCCTGTCAAGTGCTCGCTGCCACGGCCCAATGGCTCCTCAGGGACGGGTAAGAGAAGGCAGCCGGCCAGCTGCCATTTACAAGCCGAACGTGAGCCCCCGCCTCCCCGGGGGAGCGTGTTTGACAAGGTGAGAGGGGGATCTTTGCGCCAGAGCTGAGCTCCCCGGGACGGTGCCGAGGTTCGGGGCTTGGCCCACGCCACCTGGTCCTCCCCAGGTGGACCTGCCGCCCGGGAACCACCTTCTCATTTATCCTCCACAGGCTAAATGAGCCAGGGCGGCCCCAGGTGCCACTCAGGATCCTGCGCGGGGGTCCCTGCCTGGGCCTCCCTGCCTGGCCTGGGCTCCGAGATTCAGAGGCCCAAGGACAGGTCTTCCCGATGTTCCTGGGGGACACCCTGGCCCCAGCACTGCCTGGAGTAGGTCGGTCAGGGCCTCCTCTGAGGGCTGGAAAGCGGGGTCCAGACCCATGGACCCCCGTGTCCCAAGGCTATGGCTTCACCCCAGGACAAGTTTCTTTTCCCCCATTCAAACCCAGCTCTCCAGGTCCCCGGCCTCGCTCGCCTCCGCGGCGGTCACCACAAACTCAGCAGCATAAAGCAACACAAACCCACAACCTTACAGATCCAGAGTCAGAAGTCCAAGACGGGGCACGCAGAGCTAAGCCAGAATCAGCAGGTGGCTCCTCCTGGCTTGTGGACCGTCCCCTTCCTGCCTTCTCTGGCTCCTTGGGAGCAAACGCGGCCGCCTGCCCACCTCGACTCCAGCCAGCAGTCCCTGGTGCCGTCCCCGCCCTCACGGTGCCCGCGTTGGCTTATAAGGGCTGTGGTCACATTAGGCACACCTGGTTCCCCGGCAGGCTTCCCACCCACTGTGATCAGCACTCACACCTGCAAGCTGCCAGGCCACCTACCCACAGGTCCCTAGGGTTTGGAGGGGGCATCCTGGGGACCCTGGTCCTGCCAGAGCAGCTGCTGTCACCCTCAGCCCTTGCCCCTGAGCCCTGAGGGGACACTGTCCTTCCTCTCTGCCATTTCGGGACTATTTTCCTGGGCCCCTGTCCTCATTTCTTGGTGACGTTACCTCTGGGTTGAGGTACTTTCTTCAACTCTACTCGTGCCTTGATTTTCTGGCAATGTCACTGTCACCCTCTCTCAGAGGGTGCTTCCCCATCAGTCCTTGACTCCTCTTCGGTGGTGACCTTTGTCCTCTGACTTCAGCCAGTTCAGCCCAGACCAGGGCTTGCAAGTCTCCTGTGCACCTGGATGCCCCGGAGGCGGGAGTGGGAGGTCTGGGGTGGGGGTGGGGGGCGAGGAACTTGCATTTCTAACAGGGTTCCAAGTGCCGTGGGCGCCAGGGGTCCTGAACCCTTTGGGAGCCTCAGCCCTGGCCCTTGGGACACCTCTCAGGAGCACCACCCTCTTCTCCAGGCACAGAGCCGTCTCCCTCCAGCACCTGATGCAGACACCCAGGTGGCGAGCAGGCGGCTGCCACAGAAGCACCAATGGGTGGCCTCCTATCACTGGCTGAAAGCGAGAGTCCACATCTCCATGTCCACTGGCTGTCCACTGCGCTGGGCGGCCATCTCCTGGACTCCTAGCTGAACCCACCCTCTCCTGCTGGCCTCACTGCCTATTTCTAGAGGACAATGGAAGCTTCTGGAAGGGACGCTGAGCGCTCCTGCTGTGGCATCTGCCCTTCCCAGAGGCTCTGCTTTGCCCCAATGCCCTGAATGGGTGTTCTGCTCCTAGCTGGGGCCACCCATACCCTCACACCAAGCGTC